GCTGGGCTCCCCTGGGGACGGGCAGCATCATCCTGCCTGGCGCTGCCAGTCACATCGGCAGGATCGGGCCCGAAGCTTTTGGGCCGCCCGCCCGGGGTCCGGTGCCGCGGCAGTGACTCGCATCCTGCCGGCTGCCGGCCACGGCGTGGCCGCCGGGATCTGGTGCGGGTCCTCGGCATTCAGGTCTCGCTCCAGCGTGCTGGCCGCAGTTATCGGGTGGCTTTGTTCTGGTGACTGATGCTACCGTCCGGCTCCTCTCCTGCCTTCGGCTCGCCTCCGCTATTTATCCCAAAGTCCATAAATCCTCCCAGAGATCAATCTTTGGCATTCAGCACCGACACAAGCACTCCCGGACAGGCAAACCTCGCGTGGTGCCATCCCTGCTCCCCATGTCACCGTGCCGGTCACGGTTATGGCACAGCAAGGGGGGAAAAAAGCTGTTCAGGGCCCAGAAATCAGGGCTGGAAAAGCCCCCGCTCCGGGGGTGATGGGAAGTCAGTGGTAAATCTGGGAGATTTTCCTTGCAGAAATTTGAGGGAGTTTTTTTTATGAGTTCCTCGGGGGAGGGGAGAGGGGGGCCATGCCGGCGCTGTGCCGTGCCATGCGCGGTGATTGCCCCTGGCTTCTGGGGGTACCCGGTGAGGCCCTGAAGCCAGTGAGATTAAATGTTTATTAGCAGCTTCGTGTCTGTGCCAGGGAGGCCTGGCCCCTCCATCCTCCCCTGCGGTTTATCCATGGACAATCAGTGCTCTCATGTATATATATATATAATCTCCTTGGCTGGGGGATACCCTGGGATGCCCCAGGATGCTGCAGAAAGCCCTGGGATGCCCCAGGATGCTGTGCAATGCCCAGGGATGCTGTGCAAGGCTTGCCCCCAGCCCTCGACCTCCATCCCTGCAGGGAGTGGGCCAGGGTCGGAGCATCCTCCGGAGCCCCGGCAGCCGCTTCCTCCTGGTCTCGCTGCTCGGCAAAAGCGTTCGGCAAAAGTGATTTGTAGCGGAGTTCTTTTGAGACCCCAGGGGGGGAGCGGTGGCAGCCGCACGCTGCAGCATTTTAAACCGCATCCCTCATCTGCGCAGGTTAATACATTACGGCTTCCCAGGAAGAGCAGCAGACCCGCAGCTTTGGGTTTAGTTATTTTTTTTTTAAAGTGCTTGGTAACTTTGCTGGGCTTGCTTAGCTCCCAGTGAGTGCCAGCGGCCCCCTCCCCTCGCCGTACGGCAGCCGGCATGTTTCTGGGGCTGAGCACGCTCATCCCATCCTTTTTAGGTTTTCCTTTTCCAAAAGCAGGCTTCGCTCGTGTGGGTTTAGGAGGTGTCAGAGGCAGAGAGAGGATCCGAGGTGGCATCCTGAGCTGCTGCGCAATCTGTCCCAGGTCGGAGTATTTGTGTGCCGGCATCCCCGGGGCCGGCAGCCCTTCACCACGCTGTAAAAACACTGCGCTTTGCTTTTTTATTTTATTTAAGGACTTGGACACTTCCTCAGCTATTTCTTCAAATTATTTTCTTTAGAACAAAATTGCCGTCGTGGTGCATAAGCCCTCGCGGCGGCTCCCTTCCCCCAGCCCCTGCTCTCTCTGCGGAGGAGGAGGAAGAGGAGGAGGAAGGGAAGACACGCTCTTGGCAGCTCTGGCTCCTCATTTCCATCCTCCCAGCGCGGCGCTGGAGGATGCTCCTTGCCGGAGACGCCGGCAGCGCTTTTGCACGGGATCCGTGCCGTGGCTGGGATGCGTGCCTTGGCCTCGCCGCAGCTCTGGCGGTGCCGTGCCGGAGCCGTGCCCGCCTGATGCCGCCCTGTGCCAGCGTGCCGGGAGGAGGAAGGGATACCTCTCTCTGCTCCTTCCTCCCGCTCACAACTGGGATCCATCTCTCAGCACGGTGCAGCGGGTGCTGGGCCAGTTTGGGGTCCAGGAGCCGGGGGGCTGCCACCAAAAGCTTGTCCCCCCCTCCCCTGCCTGCAGCCCCTGGGCTGGAGGGGGGTCCCCTCTCCCTAGGGACCTGCCTGGGGTCTCCCTGGCTGCACCACGGGAGGGTCTGGGTGCTCCTGGGGTGGTCGTGGGTGGGGGCAGCCTCCCAGCTCTCCCGTCACGGCACAGTTCGTTACCAGGCTGCCGGTTTCCAGCTCATTAACGAAGCTCCCTGGATTGCCCACTCTCCCCACCCCACGTTTTGCCACTTTTCCAGAAATCTTCCTTTCCTGCCCCATTTTTTCAGGGCAGAGGATGTCAATGCCACCAAGGCTGGGGTCGGGGGCACGGGCAGGGACCCTGGGGTCCCCTCACCCAGGGGGGACTCGGCCGGGTGGGATGCAGACAGGGCTGGGGGCTGGCAGCTGCCTGCCCTGTCACAGCAGCAAAACTCCTGCCAGATTCCCTGGAAATGTTTTGCTTCCCTCGGAGACAGTGCGGAGGAGGCGGGGTGGAAAAGGAGGAGAAAAGGGTTTTTTGCCTGACACCAGCACTGGGCTCTGTAGTGGCAGTGATGGCGATAGTGGGAGGCAGCGGGGGGGGGGAGGGGACAGGGACAGGGATGGGACAGGGATGGGGATTGGGATGCGACAGGGATGGGGATGGAGACAGGGATGCGGATTGGGATGAGGATTGGAATGTGATAGGTTTGGGAGTACAACAGGGACAGGGATGGGGACAGGGACGTGTCCTCCTGGATTGCAGCCTGGCTTCTGCACCCCCAGCCAGGCGCAGTGGGACCACCTCGGTGGGGTCCCGCGGGAACTGGAGCAGAGCTGGGGTGCGGGGGGCAGCGGGGCAGCATCCCAATGCACTGAAGCAGGGCTGGGGACCCTGCTGAACCCCACAGCAAGGTTGGGGACCCCAAAAGTCCCAGCTGGGTTGGCCGTGCCTCTCCCAGGAGCAATGCAGTGGGGAGCACCTCAGGGTGAGCCAGGGGTCCCACAGCCAGCCTCCCTCCCCTATAGCCCCCACCCCCTGCCACTGCCCCCAGTGCAGGGGTTTTAGTTCAAGTGATGCAAATCACCTGTTTTAATTGTGAGCTAAATTGTCTGGCAGGGAGCCGTGATTTCACCGAGTGCTCCTCATCCTCCGTGCCTGCACCGAGTGGTGAGCCTGCCCCAATTCCCCATCTCGGGGGTTTGGGGGGGGGCACAGGGTTCCTTCCACCTGTGTTGGGCGTTGCTGGAGGACAACTCAGCACTTCAGTAATGTGCGAAACCAGCACTTCGGAAATTATTATTTAATTGCTTAAGCGAGAGCCTGGTCTCCCTTCCTGGGTTTGTGCTGCAGCCCCGTGTGATGCTGGTGGTGCAGTGCCAGCGGTGCGGTGAGATGCCAGCGGTGCGGACATCACCGCAAGCTTTCCCGGAGTGACCCTGGGTGTTCCCGGCCAGAGCAGGGCAGCATTTTATCCCTGCCACCTCTGAGGGTGCCGAGCAGGTGGGCACCGAGCTGTGCTGCCGTTCTGGCAAGCCGGTGAGTGCCACCGCTCCAAGCACCCCAGTGCCCAAAGCAGCCCCCGGGTCCCTGGCACAACCGGGGGTCCACATGCCGCCGGACCTCAGAAACCCCTCAGCTGCCGGTAATGTGTATGCTGGAGTCACCCACAAAGTGCTCGGCAGCCGCTGTTCCCCCGGGCTCCCTGGCAAGGTCAGGGCTGCCATCCTCATCCTCATCAGCACGTGGCCGGTGGGGAGCCGGGCTGCAGCATCCCCGGTTGATGGCAGGGCTGCAGAGGTCCCCGATTCCCTTTGCCATCAGCTGTGCTGCGAGCGCCGGGCTGAGCCTCACGGTGAGTTTTCCCTCCCACCTCCCTCGCCGAGACGTGAGAATTGCTGCTCTGTCACAGACCGAGCGCTCAGGCAGCCTCTCAGTGTAATTCCCGGCACTTCATTAATAACGAATTATGTAAAATAAAATTAATAATGCAGGACTTCCCAGTTTAATAATCTGTGCCACTGCTGATGCTGGCAGCACTTTGCCAAAGGGGAGCCCGGGGTGGTTATCCCGGTTTGCAGGTGGGGAAACTGAGTCAGAGAGAGAGGGGGTCTGGACGTGGGGGTCCGGCTGTGGTCCAGTGTGACTGCTGCAGTGCTCAGCCTCCTTCCCTCCTGTTTTTTTTAAGTATTTTAATTTTTAGTGATGGTTTACAGGGCTGGGGGGAGGGCTGGGGCTTGACCTGCCTCCGTGGCTGTAATGATATGGCAGAATTAATACCTGCTTATCAGGGGCTCTCGGTCAGAGTTATCGGCACAGGCGGCTAGTATGGTTAATAAGAGCAGCCCGGAACCACACGCGGCTGCTAAGGCAGCTCGGGGTCCTGCCGGCTCCCCCCGCGGCAGCTCCCTGTGCTGGGGTGCTGGGCTGCTCTGCTGGGGACATTGCACGGGGGCACCTTGCATGGGGGGGATTTTGTGCAGCTGGTGCCTCCGGTGCTGCAGGGTCTGTACCACAGCGGGGGTTAATGGTTTCTGCGTGGTCCGAGGAGCCTGGGGGTCCCCATGGCATGGCGCGGGGCGGGTGTTGCACCCCAACTGCAGCCTGGGGTCCCCAAAAACCCCTGGCGAGGCCGGCTGCAGCAGGGAGAGACCCAGGTGAGGCAGCTCCTCTGGCAGGGTGGGTGGTTTGGGGACAGGGACAGGAACAGGGGGTCCTCCCTGCCCCCGGCCTGGGATGGAGCAGGGAGCCCTCCCCAGGGAAGCTCGTCCCCGTGTCCCCATCCCTGCTGGCTCTTTCCCTGCTCGTCCCCGTGTCCCCATCCCTGCTGGCTCTTTCCCTGCTCATCCCCGTATCCCCGTCCCTGCTGGCCCCAGGGCTCTCCCAGGCTCTCCCTGCCCCAGTGCCGGGGAATTGCCAGCACGTGGACCCTCCTGTGTCCCAGGAGCCGGTCACGTCCCACCTGGGCTCCGGTGGCCCCTTTCCTCCCCAAAACATTTTTTTTCAGGTGACGTCCCCAGCAATGGCACGCGGTCACCCACTGGCTTCCTCCAAGCGCCTCACTCTCCTCTTCCTCCTCTTCCTCCCGCAGGCATCGAGTGTCCCCGGGGAGCCAGGAACCTGCCGGGGCTGGTCCAGGAGGGCGAGCCCTTCAGCGAGGAGGCCACGCACTTCACCAAGGAGCTGGTGCTGCAGCGAGAGGTAGGGGATGCTCGGCGGCGTGGGGGCCGGGGGGCTGCGGCAAGCCGGCGGGGTGCTGGCGCGGGAGGGGTCGGCGATGCCCATGGGGCACGGATCTCGCCGAAGGGCTGCGAGCCGAGGCAAAGCTGCTGAGCCGCAGCCGCCTCGTCCCCGGTCTCTGCAAGCGGTTTGGTGCTCCGGGAAAAGCCACGCAGACCCGGTTCATGGCGTCGGCAAAGCCTCCTGCGGTGCTGGGGCCGGATTTGGCCCCATTCTCCTCTCTGAGGCTCTCTGTGTTGGTGCGTCGTGGTTTCGCCGCGGTGCCAGGGCCGGATCCTGGCAATGCCCTGGTGTGCAGGGCTCTGAGCCGGGGCCATGCAGCTGGCTGTGCCGGGGGGGCTGCCAGGGCAGGGCAGTGCCCGTGGGACCCCCGTGCCTGCAGCTCCGGCACTGCTCGGGGGCTGCGCCCTTGCCGCAGCAGGTGGGAGCCGTGTGCCGCCGGCCCTTACACACCTGGGATACCGAGAGCATCCCTGGGCGTTTGCAGCCGGTCCATAAATCGCCGAGGTGTTGTGTTTGCTCTGCCCCTAAATCTGCCCTCGCTGAAGGCAGCGATGGGAAAGGTGATCGGCAGCTTGTCCCGGTGGCAGCAACGGGCAGGGGACAGGTGGGGACAGCTCTCCGCTTTTCTCTTTTCTTTTCCTTTTCCTTTCTTTTCTTTTTTCTTTTTTTTCCTTTTTTTCTCTTTTCTTTTCTCTTTTCTTTTGCTTTGCCTTCCCTTTGGTTTGGTTTATTTTATTTTATTATTTTTATTTTATTCTGTTATTTTTATTTTGTTTTATTTTATTTTACTATTTTTGGTGGAAATCAATACTGAATTGTGGTCTCTGCTCTGAATGTGATAGTGGCTGTGGCTCTGGTGCACTGCATTTGGCTGGCGTGGCCCTGCCTTCGCACTCCTCCGTGCCGCCAGTCCCACACCAAGGAGGACTGGGAAGGACTGGGGACCCCACTCCGGCCCCCAAGCCCCCCACCTCTGCAGTGGGGAGCCAGGCCGGGCTGTGCCGCACAGGCAAGACATCTCCCGCTCTCCCTGCTCCCGTGGCCGCATCCACCTGGAGCAGTCCTGCCGGCTCAGCGATGGAACGGCACAGCACTGGGGGCTGCGGGGGGGGCTCCGGCTTGGCAGAGTGGGACGCATCCTGCTGGGTTCTGGGCAAGGCTGCTGCACGTGTCCCAGCAAGGCTGCAAAAGCGGTGACCCCGAAAAGCACCTGGCGAACGACGCCTGCAAAAACCAGGCGAGCAGGGAGATGATGCTTGCAGAAAAGGAAAGTGCAGAGGAAGCAGGACGCGGCGTGCGGCCGCGCCGGGGGGGCTCCGTCACCCGGGGAGGGAGGTTTGCTGCTGCCTTGAGGGTGAGGAGGGACGTACCCCGCAGCGGGTCGGGGTGCAAATGGGGCAACCCCCCCAGCAGCCGCCTTGGTGAGGGTTTGTCCCACTCCGGGACCGCTCCGGTGGGAAGGGGCAGCCCAGGATGCCGGGTCCCGCAGCTGCCCGCTGCGCGGGGATCCCGGCTATTCGGCTGAGGAATACAGATGGCTCCACCGTGCATCGCTGCCCTTTATGCCCAATCCCAGCCGTTTGGTTTAAATTGGGTGAGGAACTCGTTTTCACAAGGGCTGCGGGCCCAATCCCCCTCCACGGGTTTTACCCATCCTCTGCAGCAGCCACGGCCAGCCGGAGAGCTCTGCTCGGCACCTGTCTGCGCCGGTGCGGCACCGCGGCGGAGCAGCATTCGGTGCCTGCTGGTGGAGCGGGAGGGTGCCACCAAATGGGCCGCAGTGGCTGCGGGGCTCTGCCGGAGCATCACCTCGGCCAGCGGCACCTCCTCCTCCGCAGCCATCCCGGCAGCACCGGCGAGGCAAAGCCACCGATTGCCACACTGTCGTCCCCCCATGCTGCCTTCTCCGCTTTGGGGTGCCTTTTGCCGTACGCGCCGTGGGAACGGGGTGTGCCGGGGTAGAGCCGTATCGGGGCCCCTCCGCACAGATGGGGTGTGCCAAGGAGGGGAGTTAGAGCAGATCCACGTCCTCTGCAGTGGTTCGCGTCGCTCTCCGTGGGGCTGTGACGTGTGATGGATGTGCTGTGGATCCAGGGTGGATGCCGGGCAGATGCTCAATAGATGCGGGACGGATGCATGGTGGATGCACAGTGGATGTGTGGGGTTGCACGGCGGATACGTGGTGGATTCACGGCGGATGCAGGGTGGATGCACGGCAGAAGCACACTGGATGCACAGAGGATGCAGGGCAGCTGCACAGCGGCTGCGTGGCGAATGCCGGAGCTGCCACGGGCAGCAGGGCCGACGCAGCACCTTCACGGCACCGGCGCGAGGCCCGTCCGCAGGCAGGCTTCTGGCAGCACCGGCAGGGCCCTCGGCCGGAGCAGGCAACGACCTTGCACGGCCTCAGCTAATACTAATTACATAAATTGCCCTGCAGGGGAGTAGCTTTCTCTTCTCAGCTGAAAAACTGTAAATTGCTTTCTTTTGGTCTGCTGAAGGACAAAGTATCCAGGTGGCCGGCAAGCTGTGTGCTGGGCACCCCTGGCCGGCGTTCCTGGCAGGAGAGACGGGCAGCTCCCGGCTGCTCTCGAGGCTGGCAGGTTTGGGTGCTGCTTTGTGCTTTTCCTGCCAATTCTGCCGGGGAAACGCGAGTGCTGTGGCCGCATCCTGCAGGCGAGGCCAGGTCCGGGGGGACGAGGCCGGATCCGAGCTGCTGAGCAGTCGGGGTGTGCGCAGGGATTCGCCGCGAACCTGCCTCCCGTCTCTGCCTTCCCCCTCCCCGGTTTGAATGTGCTCTCATTAAGGTCTCTTGATATTAAAATTCACTAACTCATGCAACTTCTCTGATTGAAACTTCTGTGTCACCAGAGCGCGAGATCCATTTTGTGTAATTACGCCGTGATTCATAATTTCAATATAGGATAAAAAATGCCCTCCGCAGCCTTTAGCCATCTCCCCGAGTGACTGTCAAGATAAAACTCTGCAATTTATGCACAGATGACTTTGCTCTTCCCCACTCTCACCCCTTCTCTTCACCCGCTATATTTACACCCTCGCATTGGTGTTGTTGGTAATTCCATCTCTCCATTTAAATTAGCCATCATTACCAGGCACGGCTTCGCCTCCTCCCCGTCGTGACCGGGGAGCGTGGGAGCTCAGCCCCCCTCGACCGCACAGACCCTTGCCCAGTCAAGGTGCAGCCGTTTGCGGTGGCGGATGGTGGGATCTGATCCAGCACCAGCTGCCGGCACCGTGTGGCAAGTGGGTGCCGCTGCTCCGGTGCCCATGGCTGCTCGGCACAGGGATTCCTCCACCGGCTCGTGCGGAAACGGAGCGGAGGGTGCCCTTTGCTTTTCGGGGGGGTTAAGTGCTGCTGTTTATATCCCGGTGTGACTAAATGAGCCCCCCCTGGCAAGGGGGGGGGCTCCTGGCGCAGGGCACGGACCCGCTGCGGTGCTGGTGCGGGATCGCACGTGGAGAGGTGGCACCTTCCTCTTGTCCCATCCCGGGGAGCTGGGGCAGGAATGGGGGGGCTGGGGCAGGAATGGGGGGGCTGGGGCAGGAGGAGGGAGCTGGGGCAGATAAGCTGCTGTCTCCCCGGCAGAGCGTGGGGGACGGCGACGTAGCGAGGGGATTCTCCGCTTGGGCACGCTCAGCCTCTGCGCTGTGGCCTCCTCCTCCTCCTCCTCTTCCTCCTCCTCCTGCCGAATGTCACCTCGCCTCCGCTGGACGAGCCCAGGACCGTGAGGACAGGGCTGGCCGGGCCGCGCTGCTCACCCCTCTCTGCCGCAGACAGCGGGGCGCAGGATTGTACCCGGCCCCAGCAGCGTGCGGCTGCATCCCGGCCCCTCGCTGGCTGCGGCTGCCCCGTGGCACGGGGATGGGAACGGGATGCTGGCGGGCTGGGGTCCAGGACCACCCCAGGCTGCGGATGCAGAGGTGGCCGTGGCTGCAGATGCAGTTGTGGGCACAGATGCAGATGTGGGCACTGATGCAGATGTGGCTGTGGGTGCAGTTGTGGGCATGTGTGCAGATATGGGCACAGATGCAGATGTGGGCACTGATGCAGATGTGGCTGGGGGTGCAGTTGTGGGCACAGATGCAGATGTGGGCACTGATGCAGATGTGGCTGCAGCTGCAGGGCAATGCAGCCAGCTGTGGGGGTCGGGAGCAGCAGGAGCCTGTGCCCACCCGAAATGCCGCAGGGACACGGGGACGCGGCAGGCATCTCCGTCCCTCCTCGGCATCTTGCGGCGTGCGGCCGGCTGCCGTAAACTGCTGACCCGCGTCCCAGGGGCATCGCTCTGCTTCCTTAGCACATCCTGGAGGCTCCGGCTCAGCCGGCGCTCACCGCCCCGCACCAGCCAGGGCCTGTCACATCCCATTACACTTGCTCGCCCGCCTGCGTGCTTCTTGCCCACTTTCGGGGGGTCCTGCCCACCTCTGCCCATCGGTGAGGGGAAACTGCCATCGTGGCTTTCGCAGCCCCCCCAGAACCTCCCGGCCCCTCAGGGAAGGCGGCTGCCCCAGGGTCCTGAGCCCCTCGGTGCCGGCACGCAGGCACAAACGGTGCCACAGGCAGCCGGGACGGCCCAGCGCGGGCACTTGCCCCCCACCCTCGGCTTCGCTGCCTCCCCGGCTGTGTTTCTCCTTCCTGCGTCGACCCCTTCAGTGTTTCGCCCCATCTGGCCTCGATGCACGTGGAATTTCGATCGGGGCTCTAACAAAGCCGCAGCTGCTGGCTCGCCGCTGCCCGGGCTGAGCCGAGCGGGGTCTTGGTGCTGGCAGACACCGGGGGGGGGGGGGGGGCGTGCTCCGGCCGGCCCCCATGTCCCCTCCTGGTCCCCTCCCGTGGTGCCGTGAGAAGGGTGCTGGCTTTGACCCCCAACCTGTGAGGGATGTGGCACATCACGGTGGCTGCTGTGGATCTCACCCTGCTCCGGGCACGGCCGATG